TGATGCAACTGCATGGGGTCGAAAGAGGAATTTCGTTGAGGACTCATGACAACATTTTTACTCTTTGTTTGATGATGCCTGTGAAGTGTTGCTGACCGTGAAAATGCTTCCAACACATAGAGCAATCAAACGGTTTTGTTAAAAGAATTACACCAGTTTGTAGTGCTGGAAATCACTGATATAATCAATTGCACCTAATAATTGATCTAACAGAGACACAAACGTGCACATTCCAGGACTTTACCAGAAGTACTCAATACTTTGATTATCCAGCCACTCCAGCAGCCATTTCTCATTATCAACCTGCATGGGGTCGAAATAGGAATTGTCGTCAGGGCTCAGTACATCCACCATCTCGCAGGATCCACTGCATAGGTTCGAAATAGGAATTTTAGGACTCATTGCAGCACTCTGTATTTCTCCTTTTGATTTCACTTTCATTGCGGATCTTCTCATGCTTGTTTCGGGGTGATGACCGTGTCCTCTCCAACGGAGAACAATTGAATGGCTTCTCGCCCGTGTGTGTTTTCTGGTGACGATGAAGATTTGATTTCCGTGAAAATGGCTTCCCACACAGAGAGCAATTGAACGCCTTCTCGCCCGTGTGTGTTTTTTGGTGAGTGTGAAGATCTGCTTTACGGGCAAATGCCTTCACACAAACAGAGCAATTGAATGGCTTCTCACCCGTGTGTGTTTTTTGGTGATTGCGAAGAGTTGATGAATCTGCAAATGACTTCCCACACACAGAGCAATTGAATGGCTTCTCACCGTGTGTGTTTCTGGTGATTGCGAAGAGTTGATGAATCTGCAAATGCCTTCCCACACACAGAGCAATTGAATGGCTTCTCGCCCGTGTGTGTTTTGGTGACGATGAAGATTGTTTTCCATGCAAATGCCTTCCCACACAGAGCAATTGAACGGCTTCTCGCCCGTGTGTGTGTTTTGGTGAGTGTGAAGATCTGCTTTACGGCAAATGCCTTCACACAACAGAGCAATTGAATGGCTTCTCACCCGAGTGTGTTTTCTGGTGATTGTGAAGATCTGATTTCCGTGCAAATGCCTTCCAGCACACAGCGCCATTGAACGGCTTCTCTCCCGTGTGTGTTTTTGGTGAGTGTGAAGATCTGCTTTACGGGCAAATGCCTTCACACAAACAGAGCAATTGAATGGCTTCTCACCCGAGTGTGTTTTCTGGTGACTGCGAAGAGTTGATGAATCTGCAAATGCCTTCCCGCACACAGCGCAATTGAATGGCTTCTTACCCGTGTGTGCGTGCCGCTGTGGAGAGTTTTTCTGCTCCATGTGACTGATTTTTCAGAGCAGAGAAACTTCGTGGATGTCTGGCTCAAATCGCCAAAAAACAACTCTCACTAACGTTTAACCGAGTCACAGTAACGTCTCGGAAGTCGGAATACACACGCGATTACCAGTTTATCCACTAACAAAGACACTTACTTGTTGATGCACGGCGTATCGATGTCCCTGTAACCCGTCTGAAGAGATCGCCACGAACTCTCCCGAAGCAAAGTCCCCAACCAGTCGCCAAGCAATCGTGCTCGCCAGGCTGGGTCTCGTGGAAGAAGGGTTATCTGCAGAGCGGGGAGTCGAGCGTCTATGCTCATCAAAATCCCTCTCGAAATGCCCTTGAGGTCTGATTTTAAGCTCTTTATAATTCCGCTCTAGCATCCAAAATCTTTGTTTTCGACTTGGCCTATTATGGAATTTGCATTCAATGTTAATTTTTACATTAACAATCCGCATATCTAGCAACATAATACGTATGTACATATCACTGAATAATTGTACACTTCCGTTTGAATACGGATGTGCATCTCTATGCATAATTCCATGATTCGTGTTAATTTGCTAATATTCACCCCCCAATGTCCTCTAAACTGCTGCAAGTTTAGAGGATGATAAAGTGACATACAGTCTGAAGTATCAAAATTGGTGATCTCGAGCTTGATTTGGAATAAGATGTGCAAGTTTATACTGTACTGACTTTGTTTTATAAATATATTTAAGTACAATCGTGTTGAGCGGGGTGTTTCTTCTCACCCGAGTGTGTGTTTTTTGGTGATTCTGAAGATCTGATTTCCGTGCAAATGCCTTCCAGCACACAGCGCCATTGAACGGCTTCTCTCCCGTGTGTGTTTTTTGGTGAGTGTGAAGATCTGCCTTTACGGGCAAATGCCTTCACACAAACAGAGCAATTGAACGGCTTCTCACCCGAGTGTGTTTTTTGGTGATTGTGAAGATCTGATTTCCGTGCAAATGCCTTCCAGCACACAGCGCAATTGAACGGCTTCTCGCCCGTGTGTGTTTTTTGGTGAGTGTGAAGATCTGCTTTACGGGCAAATGCCTTCACACAAACAGAGCAATTGAATGGCTTCTCACCCGAGTGTGTTTTCTGGTGACTGCGAAGAGTTGATGAATCTGCAAATGCCTTCCCGCACACAGCGCAATTGAATGGCTTCTTACCCGTGTGTGCGTGCCGCTGTGGAGAGTTTTTCTGCTCCATGTGACTGATTTTTCAGAGCAGAGAAACTTCGTGGATGTCTGGCTCAAATCGCCAAAAACAACTCTCACTAACGTTTAACCGAGTCACAGTAACGTCTCGGAAGTCGGAATACACACGCGATTACCAGTTTATCCACTAACAAAGACATTTACTTGTTGATGCACGGCGTATCGATGTCCCTGTAACCCGTCTGAAGAGATCGCCACGAACTCTCCCGAAGCAAAGTCCCCAACCAGTCGCCAAGCATCGTGCTCGCCAGGCTGGGTCTCGTGGAAGAAGGTTATCTGCAGAGCGGAGGAGTCGAGCGTCTATGCTCACAAAATCCCTCTCGAAATGCCCTTGAGGTCTGATTTTAAGCCCTTATAATTCCGCTCTAGCATCCAAATTCCTTTGTTCTCGACATGGCCTATTCATGGAATTTGCATTCAATTGTTAATTTTTACATTAACAATCCGCATATCTAGCAACATAATACGTATGTACATTCACTGATAATTGTACACTCCGTTTGAATACGGATGTGCATCTCTATGCATATTCCATGATTCGTGTTAATTTGCTAATATTCACCCCCCAATGTCCTCTAAACTGCTGCAAGTTTAGAGGATGATAAAGTGACATACAGTCTGAAGTATCAAATTGGTGATCTCGAGCTTGATTTGGAATAAGATGTGCAAGTTTATACTGTACTGACTTTGTTTTATAAATATATTTAAGTACAATCGTGTTGAGCGGGGTGTTTCTAGAAAACGAGTGTTTTTATATTAAAAATTCTGCCATTTGTTCGTGTAGTCGAACGCAATCCCTTTTACTTACACTGCTGTGTATGTCCATCGTGTGTGGGTGTGTGTACATGAGAGTGCTGGCTACTCGTGTATGATTATGTATTGGAACAAACAAATTATTTTTATATTGTGTCGTACAAATAATTGAGGGGCAACGTGGTAGGAATGCGCCACCACAACAGGGAACTACAGGGATGAGACTCCCCGCTCGTGGTGCGAAATGAATGAAAACAGCGTAGAAACACATGCACACTCGTGTGTGAATGCACACCGCTGTATATACAGTCGTGTTTGGATGCACACTCGTGGTGTATTCTACTCGTCCGTGTTTTTTAAAGGAAAACTATGGTAGCAATAACGTACGATCAGTCATCTTTAAAAACAGGTCTTTATTAATCTGCAAGAAAGCTCACGTTAATACTCGTATCGAAATCTTTATAATACGCATGCTCAAAGGAAAGGAACTATCTTCTTGGTTCTTTCGGTAAAGTCACGTAGAAGGGAAGTAATAAAATAATAAAAATAAACATAATAAAACCATTCTCACGACGTTTCGGCCACAACGCAAGCAGCCGTCCTCAACGGCTGCTTGCGTTGTGGCCGAAACGTCGTGAGAATTGTTTTATTATGTTTTATTTTTATTATTTTATTACTTCCCTTCTACGTGACTTTACCGAAGAACCAAGAAGATGAATCCCTGCAGTCACGAAAGCTTTAAATCGAAAGGAAGGAACTAGGCAAATTTTTTCCCAATAGGAATTCAACAGTTAAAATATATTCTTAAAATCAAACACGTAAACGTCGATTTCCCTTTTGACGTCCTTTTCGACTGAAGCCATTCGTCCTAAGTATAAAGTTGTTGTCATTCTGAAATCCGTGAACACTTCTGGAACTTAAAGGAAGACATTCATCTGAACACATTATAGAGCATTCACAACATCACTCTAGCTTGAAGTCCTAGAAATCACCGAAAAATATATATGAGACACGAATACTCCACTACATCAAGCCATATCTCATGATGCAACTGCATGGGGTCGAAAGAGGAATTTCGTTGAGGACTTATGACAACATTTTTACTCTTTGTTTGATGATGCCTGTGAAGTGTTGCTGACCGTGAAAATGCTTCCAACACACAGAGCAATCAAACGGTTTTGTTGAAATAATTACACTAGCTTGGAGTAGTGCTGGAAATCACTGATATAATCAATTGCACTAATACATTGATCTAACAGAGACACAAACGTGCACATTCCAGGACTTTAACAGAAGTACTCAATACTTTGATTATCCAGCCACTCCAGCAGCCATTTCTCATTATCAACCTGCATGGGGTCGAAATAGGAATTGTCGTCAGGGCTCAGTACATCCAGCCATCTCGCAGGATCCAACTGCATGGGGTCGAAATAGGAATTTTCAGGACTCATTGCAGCACTCTGTATTTCTCCTTTTGATTTCACTTTCCTATCATTGCGGATCTTCTCATGCTTGTTTCGGGGTGATGACCGTGTCCTCTCCAACGGAGAACAATTGAATGGCTTATCGTCCGTGTGTGTTTCCTGGTGAAGATGAAGATTTGATTTCCCGTGAAAATGGCTTCCCACACAGAGAGCAATTGAACGCCTTCTCGCCCGTGTGTGAGATTGGCTTTCCACACACAGAGCAATTGAACGGCTTCTCACCCGAGTGTGTTTTTGGTGATTGCGAAGATCTGCTTTACGGGCAAATGACTTCCCGCACACAGAGCAATTGAACGGCTTCTCGCCGTGTGTGTTTTCTGGTGCTTGTGATGAGTTGATGAATCTGCAAATGACTTCCCACACACAGAGCAATTGAACGGCTTCTCGCCCGTGTGTGTTTTCTGGTGCTGGTGATGAGTTGATGAATCTGCAAATGACTTCCCACACACAGAGCAATTGAACGGCTTCTCGCCCGTGTGTGTTTTCTGGTGCTTGTGAAGATCTGATTTCCGTGCAAATGCCTTCCAGCACACAGCGCAATTGAACGGCTTCTCGCCCGTGTGTGTTTTTTGGTGAGTGTGAAGATCTGCTTTACGGGCAAATGCCTTCACACAAACAGAGCAATTGAATGGCTTCTCACCGAGTGTGTTTTTTGGTGATTGCGAAGAGTTGATGAATCTGCAAATGCCTTCCCGCACACAGCGCAATTGAATGGCTTCTTACCCGTGTGTGCGTGCCGCTGTGGAGAGTTTTTCTGCTCCATGTGACTGATTTTTCAGAGCAGAGAAACTTCGTGGATGTCTGGCTCAAATCGCCAAAAAGCAACTCTCACTAACGTCTAACCGAGTCACAGTAACGTCTCGGAAGTCGGAATACACACGCGATTACCAGTTTATCCACTAACAAAGACACTTACTTGTTGATGCACGGCGTATCGATGTCCCTGTAACCCGTCTGAAGAGATCGCCACGAACTCTCCCGAAGCAAAGTCCCCAACCAGTCGCCAAGCAATCGTGCTCGCCAGGCTGGGTCTCGTGGAAGAAGGGTTATCTGCAGAGCGGGGAGTCGAGCGTCTATGCTCATCAAAATCCCTCTCGAAATGCCCTTGAGGTCTGATTTTAAGCCCTTTATAATTCCGCTCTAGCATCCAAATTCTTTGTTCTCGACTTGGCCTATTATGGAATTTGCATTCAATTGTTAATTTTTACATTAACAATCCGCATATCTAGCAACATAATACGTATGTACATATCACTGAATAATTGTACACTTCCGTTTGAATACGGATGTGCATCTCTATGCATAATTCCATGATTCGTGTTAATTTGCTAATATTCACCCCCCAATGTCCTCTAAACTGCTGCAAGTTTAGAGGATGATAAAGTGACATACAGTCTGAAGTATCAAAATTGGTGATCTCGAGCTTGATTTGGAATAAGATGTGCAAGTTTATACTGTACTGACTTTGTTTTATAAATATATTTAAGTACAATCGTGTTGAGCGGGGTGTTTCTAGAAAACGAGTGTTTTATATTAAAAATTCTGCCATTTGTTCGCGTAGTCGAACGCAATCCCTTTGTACTTACACTGCTGTGTATGTCCACTCGTGTGTGGGTGTGTGTACATGAGAGTGTATGTGTACTCGTGTATGATTATGTATTGGAACAAACAAATTATTTTTATATTGTGTCGTACAAATAATTGAGGGGCAACGTGGTAGGAATGCGCCACCACAACAGGGAACTACAGGGATGAGACTCCCCGCTCGTGGTGCGAAATGAATGAAAACAGCGTAGAAACACATGCACACTCGTGTGTGAATGCACACCGCTGTATATACAGTCGTGTTTGGATGCACACTCGTGTGTGTATGTCTACTCGTCCGTGTTTTTTTAAAGGAAAACTATGGTAGCAATAACGTACGATCAGTCATCTTTAAAAACAGGTCTTTATTAATCTGCAAGAAAGCTCACGTTAATACTCGTATCGAAATCTTTATTAATACGCATGCTCAAACAGGAAAGGAACTAGGCAAATTATTTCCCAATAGGAATTCAACAGTTAAAATATATTCTTAAAATCAAACACGTAAACGTCGATTTCCCTTTGACGTCCTTTTCGACTGAAGCCATTCGTCCAAAGTATAAAATTGTTGTCATTCTGAAATCCGTGAACACTTCTGGAACTTAAAGGAAGACATTCATCTGAACACATTATAGAGCATTCACAACATCACTCTAGCTTGAAGTCCTAGAAATCACCGAAAATATATATGAGACACGAATACTCCACTACATCAAGCCATATCTCAGGATGCAACTGCATGGGGTCGAAAGAGGAATTTCGTTGAGGACTCATGACAACATTTTTACTCTTTGTTTGATGATGCCTGTGAAGTGTTACTGACTGTGAAAATGCTTCCAACACACAGAGCAATCAAACGGTTTTGTTAAAATAATTACACTAGGTTGGAGTAGTGCTGGAAATCACTGATATTATCAATTGCACCTAATACATTGATCTAACAGAGAAACAAACGTGCACATTCCAGGACTTTAACAGAAGTTCTCAGTACTTTGATTATCCAGCCACTCCAGCAGCCATTTCTCATTATCAACCTGCATGGGGTCGAAATAGGAATTGTCGTCAGGGCTCAGTACATCCAGCCATCTCGCAGGATCCAACTGCATGGGGTCGAAATAGGAATTGTCGTCAGGACTCATTACATCCATGCATCTCTCAGGATCCACCTGCATAGGTTCGAAAGATGCATTTTTTTCAGGACTCATTGCAGCACTCTGTATTTCTCCTTTTGATTTCACTTTCCTATCATTGCGGATCTTCTATGCTTGTTTCGGGGTGATGACCGTGTCCTCTCCAACGGAGAACAATTGAATGGCTTATCGTCCGTGTGTGTTTCCTGGTGACGATGAAGATTTGATTTCCGTGAAAATGGCTTCCCACACAGAGAGCAATTGAACGGCTTCTCGCCCGTGTGTGTTTTTTGGTGAGTGTGAAGATCTGCTTTACGGGCAAATGCCTTCACACAAACAGAGCAATTGAATGGCTTCTCACCCGAGTGTGTTTTTTGGTGATTGCGAAGAGTTGATGAATCTGCAAATGACTTCCCGCACACAGAGCAATTGAACGGCTTCTCGCCCGTGTGTGTTTTCTGGTGCTTGTGATGAGTTGATGAATCTGCAAATGACTTCCCACACACAGAGCAATTGAACGGCTTCTCGCCCGTGTGTGTTTTCTGGTGCTTGTGAAGATCTGATTTCCGTGCAAATGCCTTCCAGCACACAGCGCAATTGAACGGCTTCTCGCCCGTGTGTGTTTTTTGGTGAGTGTGAAGATCTGCTTTACGGGCAAATGCCTTCACACAAACAGAGCAATTGAATGGCTTCTCACCCGAGTGTGTTTTTGGTGATTGCGAAGAGTTGATGAATCTGCAAATGCCTTCCCGCACACAGCGCAATTGAATGGCTTCTTACCCGTGTGTGCGTGCCGCTGTGGAGAGTTTTTCTGCTCCATGTGACTGATTTTTCAGAGCAGAGAAACTTCGTGGATGTCTGGCTCAAATCGCCAAAAAGCAACTCTCACTAACGTCTAACCGAGTCACAGTAACGTCTCGGAAGTCGGAATACACACGCGATTACCAGTTTATCCACTAACAAAGACACTTACTTGTTGATGCACGGCGTATCGATGTCCCTGTAACCCGTCTGAAGAGATCGCCACGAACTCTCCCGAAGCAAAGTCCCCAACCAGTCGCCAAGCAATCGTGCTCGCCAGGCTGGGTCTCGTGGAAGAAGGGTTATCTGCAGAGCGGGGAGTCGAGCGTCTATGCTCATCAAAATCCCTCTCGAAATGCCCTTGAGGTCTGATTTTAAGCCCTTTATAATTCCGCTCTAGCATCCAAATTCTTTGTTCTCGACTTGGCCTATTATGGAATTTGCATTCAATTGTTAATTTTTACATTAACAATCCGCATATCTAGCAACATAATACGTATGTACATATCACTGAATAATTGTACACTTCCGTTTGAATACGGATGTGCATCTCTATGCATAATTCCATGATTCGTGTTAATTTGCTAATATTCACCCCCCAATGTCCTCTAAACTGCTGCAAGTTTAGAGGATGATAAAGTGACATACAGTCTGAAGTATCAAAATTGGTGATCTCGAGCTTGATTTGGAATAAGATGTGCAAGTTTATACTGTACTGACTTTGTTTTATAAATATATTTAAGTACAATCGTGTTGAGCGGGGTGTTTCTAGAAAACGAGTGTTTTATATTAAAAATTCTGCCATTTGTTCGCGTAGTCGAACGCAATCCCTTTGTACTTACACTGCTGTGTATGTCCACTCGTGTGTGGGTGTGTGTACATGAGAGTGTATGTGTACTCGTGTATGATTATGTATTGGAACAAACAAATTATTTTTATATTGTGTCGTACAAATAATTGAGGGGCAACGTGGTAGGAATGCGCCACCACAACAGGGAACTACAGGGATGAGACTCCCCGCTCGTGGTGCGAAATGAATGAAAACAGCGTAGAAACACATGCACACTCGTGTGTGAATGCACACCGCTGTATATACAGTCGTGTTTGGATGCACACTCGTGTGTGTATGTCTACTCGTCCGTGTTTTTTTAAAGGAAAACTATGGTAGCAATAACGTACGATCAGTCATCTTTAAAAACAGGTCTTTATTAATCTGCAAGAAAGCTCACGTTAATACTCGTATCGAAATCTTTATTAATACGCATGCTCAAACAGGAAAGGAACTAGGCAAATTATTTCCCAATAGGAATTCAACAGTTAAAATATATTCTTAAAATCAAACACGTAAACGTCGATTTCCTTTTGACGTCCTTTTCGACTGAAGCCATTCGTCCAAAGTATAAAATTGTTGTCATTCTGAAATCCGTGAACACTTCTGGAACTTAAAGGAAGACATTCATCTGAACACATTATAGAGCATTCACAACATCACTCTAGCTTGAAGTCCTAGAAATCACCGAAAAATATATATGAGACACGAATACTCCACTACATCAAGCCATATCTCATGATGCAACTGCATGGGGTCGAAAGAGGAATTTCGTTGAGGACTCATGACAACATTTTTACTCTTTGTTTGATGATGCCTGTGAAGTGTTACTGACTGTGAAAATGCTTCCAACACACAGAGCAATCAAACGGTTTTGTTAAAATAATTACACTAGGTTGGAGTAGTGCTGGAAATCACTGATATTATCAATTGCACCTAATACATTGATCTAACAGAGAAACAAACGTGCACATTCCAGGACTTTAACAGAAGTTCTCAATACTTTGATTATCCAGCCACTCCAGCAGCCATTTCTCATTATCAACCTGCATGGGGTCGAAATAGGAATTGTCGTCAGGGCTCAGTACATCCAGCCATCTCGCAGGATCCAACTGCATGGGGTCGAAATAGGAATTGTCGTCAGGACTCATTACATCCATGCATCTCTCAGGATCCACCTGCATAGGTTCGAAAGATGCATTTTTTTCAGGACTCATTGCAGCACTCTGTATTTCTCCTTTTGATTTCACTTTCCTATCATTGCGGATCTTCTTATGCTTGTTTCGGGGTGATGACCGTGTCCTCTCCAACGGAGAACAATTGAATGGCTTATCGTCCGTGTGTGTTTCCTGGTGACGATGAAGATTTGATTTCCGT